CTCCAGCCCCCGCACAACTTCGGGTTCTGCCGTGCTGCGTCAGCTCCCCGCGCCGCTTCCGTCTCGGTGCAGAAGCCCAGGCAGCCATCCGATCCGCGCCGCAGCGCTACGCCCTTCGCTCCCGTCTCCCTGCCGTGCTCCAGTCCCACCGACGCGCCGCACGCGTCTCTCCCGTGGAGCCTCCCCCGAGATCCTGGGACGGGCTGAAGCTTTGGGCAGCGCCATCATCACTTACAAGCGAATTTTTCCTACGGGGAAGTGCTTCAAACGGAGAGGTTTTCAGACTACTTCACAAGTAGGATACGCAAGAGCCCGCATCGATCAGTGTGTGTTTGTCAGGCTAAAGCTACAAGCCAAAGCTGTCAGGAGACGGGCAGCTTCCCGATAACTGTCTGCTCCGACTCCTACAAACCCTGGGCCCATCCCAAAGTAACATGAGAGCGCGTCTGGCTGGCGTTCCAACCAAACATCTGTCTGCACCATTAACAACCCTACCATCAACAGCTGTCTCCTGTATTTCCTCTTGCACTCCCGCTCTGATTTGTTGTTGGAAACACCAGAGTTCATTTACCCAAGACTCGATTCAGCTTCAGACTTGTGGCAGGGGCTCAGGCTCTCTTCCGTTCATTTTTTCCCTTCACTAAGAGTCTCTCGGTTTACAGAGGCTCTGCATCACTTCCTTCTCAAGTGCGAGGAGACAGCGCAGTCTTCCTCAACAGCCCGGACAACTTCGCTGACAGCCCCCAGAACCCTTCTAGCGACACTGACACAGCCGAGGCCCTTGGCGAGGCGTAAGGCCTGGCACAGCGTTTCATGGAAGGAAGCCTTAATTTAGCACTACGCTGTGCACAAGTTCGAGACTAGAGAGGGTTTGTGGCTGCATGTACTTCCACATGCTAGCTTTAAACACAAAAAAGAATTAAAAGTTTTCTTCTACTTATCCAGCAGCGATGTGTCGCTCCCGAAGTCTGTGTGCACTCACCTCTGCCACCAAGCCCTCCGCGGCCCATGGCGCCTCTGCCCAGACCACCCCGTCCAGGGCCGCCACGACCTCGAATGCCACCTCTTCTCAGGCCCATCCTGGGGGACATCCCTCGTCCTCCACGAAGCAGGCTCTGACCTTCAACAGAGAAAGGGAATTCAAACCAGAAAGAAATGTTCAGACCGAGCAACACAACCAGAGTCACGCCGTCACACAGACCGCGCTGCCGACGTGTGAGCAGCCCCGGTGCTCACCTCTGAGTGGGATTCCTCCTCTCAGCAGAGCTCTCGCTCCCCGGCCACCACGCATGGCTCCTCGGGGCAAGCCTCTCTGCCCCATGGACAGTCCTCTTCCTCCCATGGCTCCGCGAGCAAGGGCTCCCACCGGCCGGCCTAATCGTGCCTGAATGTTACTTTTACCGAGGCGTTGCTTTAAGCTCTTCTGGAATAAAAGATTTTTTAAGAAACAAGAAATTCATGTAGCAATCTCAGACGTGCAACACAAACAGCACAGCAGTTGCCCACCAAGGAAAGTGGTGTGCTGGTTTTTTTAAAAAAATTAAACAGAGGGTCACCAGCTCTCTTCAATATATAATCAAGCTTCAAAAGACGACAATCCATTCTGCTCTGGGAGGGGTAATTTGTGCAGGTTAAACAGAGAACAGAGACCTTTATGGGAAGCAAGTGTTTGTACAGAGAAGAAAGCTTGCAGGTTTGAAAAGAAATATTTTTCTCCCATTTTTAGCAGCGCTGCTCTGTCCAAACCAGACACTTAAACCACCAGGCAGCAACAGAACAGTCATCTTTGTGTATCTGGCTTTAGAAGTGGGTTTTTTGGTTGTGCTTCCCCCCCCCCACCTCATGTCATGCACGCTCAGCCACCAGACTCCACTTCGCAGACAGAGCTGGCTTCCCTGGGGACAGCTGCAGCGTCTCCTGCCCTCAAATGCCAACACCAGAAGTGCTGCAGCGATGGCTCAACCGCTCACGGAGCAGCAGCTGAACTGCCAGTTTACATTCCAGTATTGTTAACACACACTGGTACCAACTTGGTCTCCACAGAGCAGGCTACAGCTTCTGCAGGCACTGCCGAACCCTACAAGGAGCTAAGAAGCAACAGCAGGAACCTTCACTCTTGTCTTAAGAGCAAGAGCTCTCAGCCCTGAAGTAAGGTGCTGGAAGCAGGCCTAAAGGCTGTACTTTATTACAGGTTCCAACAGTTGCTTAAATTTATTGCTTGTCAGCTTCACAGGTCTACCCGACCTAAACCTGTGGCCAGCTGAATTCGTTCCTCTAAGATCAGTCTCTTCTGTAGCTGCAGTAACATTTAAAGTTTTGCTGCCCCAGAGTTTAGACAGTCATGAACTTTTCCAACAGCTGTAGCAGTCTAAAATGTCAGCCTCTCCCTTCTGCCCAGCCTCCCTGGCAGAAAAGAATGAGAAAGCACGTGTATACTCTACATCCAACTACTCGTTTATGTCACTTACCACCAGAGTTTAAGATAAGCTGCTGGACTTTGCACTGAAACAGCCCAAGGGTGCTCGCCCTTCTGCTCAACCTCAGAGCAGCAGCACCTTGGTCTGCTCCAGCTACTGAGTAAACGCACGTCTAGAACCAGAGTCAGTACAAATGTTTTTACATTAAAACAACCACAGGTTTACGTAATCTCTGCGCACTCAGATACAGAGGATGCAAAACACAAACCCATCAATCTAGCACAAGCAGCGCTCCGCAGGAGTTGAGAGAAGTCCCCTCTGAAGCACGGGTGACCCATCACTGGGATCAATGCTCCCCAGCACGTCTGGACAGAGCACGTCCAGAAGGATTGGAAAAGCTCCTGGTGAGACCAAGCACAGCGCTTGTGAAAATCCAATCACCACATCAACTTCCAGAGCAACCTGCAAGCTCCAAAGAGCAACCCAACATAACCCAAGTTCCCTTCTGTGGCCCTCCCTTGGAGCCTTTAATTCCAGAAGACTGTGAAAGTACCCCTATGCCAAACACAAAAATCAAACAGGTTTAAGAGCTAAGCCCCAAGATTAGTTCTTCCCTGCTCCTCTGCTGCACCTTGACTCAGCAAGCAGAAACTTCATGCTTTCAACTCAGTTTCACTTACCACTTGTGAAATTCATAGCTTTTCAAACTTTTTTTTTTTCCCCAAGCAGAAAGTAATCCAGGCTGCCATTTCCAGAGCTTCTGTTTACAAGCTCTGTACGGCTAACTGGCACCAGTCTGTGTTCACAACAGAAGTCTCAAGAGATCTTAAAAAGCAGCTGCGTTCCTGTTTATCAGAGAGTGAGCCCTGAATACGAGCATGTGTGGCAGGTTTAAGCATTCCAGCTATTTGGTGCAGCAGCTTCAGCTAAGAAATTTCCAGGGCTTTCTCCTTGTGTGCAAGATGACTACAGAATTAGTCAAATGTAATTCTGTACACTAAGTCATGCAGTGCCGCTATTTGAACTCACTGCACAGCAGTGAGGTGCTACCCCTCAGGCACTTCAATTTGTGCCCTACACGTACATTTTAAGCTGATCTTACCAGCCTTCCCATTAAAACATAAGTTTGAAAACTTGCAAAACCCCCTAGAGTCTGACAATGAGCAGACCCTAGACAAATAGCTCTTCTCCGTATGCTATTGAGGTTTCTGTCGTAGCGAGACTTCATCCCCTGCCGTTTCTGCAAGTCCAGAGTTATGGAGAAGCACACTGACGGCAGGAGAGAAACAAAAATCTAGCACATTTGCTCAAGTCTTCTGCTCTACCGAGAGAAGGCAATTTGAGGAACAACTCAGCACGGAAATGTGGAACGATAGTGAGTCTTTACATAAGGAGCATGCAACACTATGCCTCAAACCCAGGCCCGCATTCTAGCATTCACAAGCAACCCAAAAAATCAGCTTGTTCATCTGTTCCTCGCAGCCAGTTCCTATCAAGGGAGCGCACAGAGGGCGGAGGTGGGGATGGGAGCAACCAGTCTCAACTGGGTAGCAAGGACTGGAAACAATCTGCAGCAATAGTAACTGCAACTAGATTGCGAGATGAAGCACTCGGCAGATCCAGAAAGCCAGAATGGGAGCATTTCTCTGAAAAAACAGAGAGGAGATATGAACAGCCAAAAGAAAAAAAAAAAAAAAATCCAACTCAATCGTATTAACCAGGAAGTTACAAAGCATTACTTATTTGAAGCAAAAAGGGGGATTTTCTGCAAGTCCCTTCCAGGGCTCCCACTTCAAACTTTAAGGAGCATTTTTCAAATTCCACCGTGTCCTGAAAAGCCATCTGCTGCTGACAGGCAGCAACGGGCCGCCCCAGAATACGCCCCTTTCTCTCACCTGTTTGAGCTTCAAAGCAGCCTGGACAGAAGGTCTATTCTCCATCTGCTGGGCCAGTCTTCTGTTTCTGGCCCTGGCTAGCTGCTGCTGCTGCTGCATGGTAGCCCAAATATTCACTGGCATCGGCTGTTTGTTCTTCAGCATGTTAGTAAAGCTTCAAGGTCGAATAAAACGGGTGTTTAAATAAAGCTTTATTACATACATTTATTGGCATTTCATGGTTCTCAAGACTGGATCTCCAGATCCCATGAACCTTATGCAAAGAGTGGTACTTAGGTCACGTCATATGTGATTACGTGTTCCTTGTTTTCCACAAGCGTGCAAGAACTGGAAACTCAGAAATGATGCTGTATATTAATTCAGAAGTGATAAAGCTTTAGGTTACTGATTTTAGAAATGGCAGAAGGAATGAAAACAAGCAATAAGCAGAGATGATCATGACAGATGGGAGAAGACACCACAGAAACAGAAAAGCAAACTGAAATCTGACTGCAAAAGCCAAGTTCACCCTCAAAGATCTGAGAAAACTGTTGAAAAACTCGATGCCAGAAGGCAGCTTTACAAAAGGCACTGCCCTGAGAACAGACCGGTGTGCCTCTGGCGCACCAGGGAACTGGTGCCGTAAGAAATGCCACCACCCAAGCGCGCTCACTTATAAAAAGTTCACTTGGCAATTTCTTCGGTGCACAATCTTCTGTCTTTAAGAGCTGGGTAGGAGCAGACCATACAGCAGAGCGGTAAGCCTCCTTAGCGGCAAGCCATCAGCTTTCTACTGTGTCCTGGGAGCTACACAAGACTGCAAAAGCAAACATTTACAGATGAGCAATGTGGACTGACCGAAATGAAAGAGGCCAGCAAGCCGTCCCTGCAGAGCACCTCACCACTCGTCTGCGCTGGGTAAGCTCCGAGCACCGGCTCGGGCGACGCTGCTGCTGCAGCACTTGCTAGGGCAGGAACTGCGTGCAAAGGGCTCCGGTTATCCCTGGCTCAACGATACTAACGCAGTTAATCCAGGAGCGATTAGTAAGGAAGTGAAACGTAACTGCAGAACCACAAAAGCTCAATGGCATGGGAAAACAGAAGAATACTCAACAGAAGAAAGAAAGAAATCAAGAAAAGAGAGAGATGGAGATGAAGCAAAGCATTTGCCTCTTACAAGGCCCAAAACATTGTTAAGGGGCCTTCGGGCTTGTCCAATGGCCTGCTGCATGCCTCTTACAGGCTGGACCACATGCACGTGTGTCTGCCTCGGACAAAGCAGCAAGCCTGCTGCAGCTTAGGTAACATGCTACCATGCTGCAGCGTTAACTATATAAATGTAAAAACATGTGGAAGAAAAAGGGAGGGTGCGAGGTTTCTCTCTTTTGTTATAACACATCCCACCATATTTATGTGTTGAACAGTTTAATATTAACTGCTATGGATAAATTTCTCCAAAACATTTGCCCTTTTAACCTTGCGTACCACATTTGTTGCAGCTTAAGACAGAGGTGCATAGCCATCTGCTTGTTTTAGTGAGGTTAAAAGAGGGCAGAAACCAGGTTGGTTTTTGGACACCGGACAGTGATAATTAAGTAAAAAAATTTCTTATGAGCTGAAGCTGCTGTTGGCTTCCTCACCGCTCGTTCAGAGACATCTTGGTGGTGCTCTTTAGCACAACCTTCGGTGCTGACTGTGCAGCCATCTTCAGATCAAGAGAATCTGCAAAACACGAGAACCAGATTGAACAAACAGCCTGGAGATCTTGTGCTTACTTGACTAAACATTAAAAAACCTGCACTCCTTTGGCAGAGAGAATCAAGAACGGGGCAGGTAACGGCTATTCTACTCACGTATTGCCACTGCCATGATACAGCAGGATTACTAAATCAGCACGTTATGCTAACTCATCCTTACCAAGAAGCTGCCTTTTCCGAAAGTGAAAATTTTACCATTGCCAGGAGTAATGCTATAAACGCACAGCCCGTCAGCAGTCAAGATGGAACCCAAATATCTTCCTTAATACAGCACCTAGTGATGCTGCCACACTTCCTAAGCTTTTAATATCAGCAACATGGAAACCCCCAGTTGTTTTAAACAGGCACATACCATATACTTGGCAATAAAATTCCAACGTCACTCCACAGAAGTCCCATATACTTCAAAAATATTTAGGTTCCATCCCCCCATTGCGGCTGCTACCACTTGGACGGAGATGAACTGTAAGGGAGCAGCCTCTTCTGCTTTTTAATATCCAATACCCTGGCAGGCAGCTCACCCGCAGTCCTAACGCGGTTCTCCAACATGAGAGCCTGCCACACGCCCCTCGAAAGCGGCACAGGGATTTAAACCCAGCTGTTACTGATCTTTGGAGCACAGCTCAAGCCCGAGTGCTTTGGCGGTGATGAATACTACTAAAACATGCGAAGCTCAAACCCACTAACTATGCAGATCGATTTCTCTTTTTTTTTTGATAATCAGTATTAAATTAAACGCTTAAATGACTGCTGGAAAGTACGCACCCTCAAAATACCCTGACTAAAACGCTTCCTTTACAAGGTTTTACAGTCCATCAGCTAGAAATCGAGCTAACAGGCAGCCGCACTCCATTTTTTTAAATTAAAAGTGTTCTTAAAAAGCGT